CGCAGGCTATTTGGTCCACTGTTTATCAGCTCCTCATCCTCGGCACGCCCATGCAACCACTCAGTCTGGCGGGCTGCGCCATCATCCTCGCTGCTGCAGCCTGGGTAGCCATCGGTAATTGAATGACTTGACCGCCTTGGGATGGAAAGCTCGACTGCGTACCAAAAATGCAGGATGCTATACACACTACTGCAGGCTCTCTTGCTGCCCAGCCACGTGTTCTGTCATGTGGTAGCATTTGACCCTTGGGCCTGGGATCCATTTCACACGTTCCTTGAAGCAGCTTTGCAAATTTCTTGGCTTCAGAAACCGTAATATCGGCCATCAAGCGATATCAAGGCAACTCGTTTGGCCAAGATGTGTACATATTGATCGATCATGTGTGAATCGGGACTATGGTACATGGTTTCATGTTGTGGGAGAGGGAGCATGGGCTCAGACGCCCAAACGCAGCTTTCATCTCGTCCGTCGCAAGTCGCAAGCCGCAGCTCAAGTTCACGTGAGTCGGATGAGCAAAAAGCAAAGGACCCAACTGATGCAAACGACAGTGACAGCTCCTAACGTAGCCCAACCCAATCCCCTAGCTTTCTTGGCATACTCTCCCAATCTTCCCCTAGTCCTAGTCATCACGTCCAGGTTTCCCTGCAACTTTTCACCCGTACTCTCCAGCAGCAATCGATCGCGCTCCAAAGCTTCACCAAAAGCTAAAGAGTTGGACTTGAGCACTCGAGCCATTCGCAAGAGTTCGGAAGTGAGGGAATCTTGAATCGCTCGGTCTGATGAAAGTTCTCCTTCCGCTTGCTGATCTTGGGAACTCGAAGCGTTCTTTTCGGCTTCGGGGTCTGAGGAGGATGACGATGCGGGTCGAATGCCTTCTCTTTCGATGCGTTCCATCTCCGCCAACTGCGCTGCTTTTTCGTACTCGGCCCAATCATCCCTATCCAACTCGTCCAGCTCTCCCCCAACGAGCTCATCATCATAAAGCGCTCTGCTCCTTTCCGGATTCCGGTCGTGGTCCGTGATGGTGATGCTAGGCTGTCTACGGATCGTGTGTTCGTTCGCCCAGGTGTCGGAGTCCGCGCCCGAGAGAGCACCGCTTTTGCTGAGTGCGGGACTTAGATGAGTTCCTCCACTCGGGCTTCTCGACCCTTCCGCACCTAGCGGTACCTTGGGCAAGGATGGGGAAGAGGCCAAAGATGAGGAGTAAGAAACTGGACTTTGCACCTCCTCAGCGTCGATGTCGGAGTCCGAGTCGGAGGAAGAGAGCGATTGATCCGACTCGGATTCGGAAAGACCTGACATTAGGTATGAAACGAGAGTGGTTGGTCTGGCGCTTGAGTCCGCTCGAGTCGCGACGTCGAAGGCCAAGGAGCGACTGGCTGGGGAGCCTGTGCCAATGCTAGACCTGCTGGCGATGCTGAGATCCGAAGCGTGCGAGCGCTCTCGGCTAGGCGTTGCAGAGGAGCGTTGCGAAAGAGACAAAGCCGAATCGGTTGTGTGCTGTAGAATGGAGGATGATAAGCAGAGGGTCAAACACGACCAGGCGGGGCTTTGCCAATGGTTGTTGCTCACCTGATCATCGACAGAGTTCAGCGCTGCCGAAATGGCATCGATGTAGATGCCAAGCACTTGACTGGCATCGCCACGAGTATAGTAATTGCTAGCGACATGTCGAAGGGCGTTCTGCAAGGCCATTGTCAATCTGATATTTGCCCAGTTCATCTTCTGTCCTGCTTCAGCTTGATTGAATGCTTCGATTGACACAAGCAGACGTGGGTATCAGCACAGATTACCAAATGTCTGGGTGCAAGTGGCACTCACACGCATATATGCTGATTCGCTCGTCTTGATGTACAAGAGCTGGCGCTGTGCGACGAAGCAGAGCAGTGCGAGTGGAGGCACTGCAGCGAGCAAGTTCGCGAGCGAGATTCCAAAGCTCGTCGACCTTGCTAGAAGCAGAAGCAGAGGAGCTCGTACTTGCGCAGCTCGCCTGCGTGCTACCTCCATCCAAAGACCCCTCGTCGAATATCACCTTGACATGTTCACACTTCCCTATCCGCTCTGTCGTAGCGCTGTTTTGTGCAAGCTTCAGAACACGTCGCCGAAAAGCGATTGCGTACGTATTGGCTGGTGCGGACAAATCGGAGCGCACATCGTACGTCTTTTGCGCGCCACGTCCTTGAACCTCCAAAGCGGGCCATGCTATAGCTTGGACATGACCGCATACAGTGTCTCTCAGCGTTGGCGCAAAGATCAAAAGTGTCGAGGCGGTCATCGTTCGCCGTCAGTCTTGTCGGTGTGGTTCTGGTCAGAGATGGATTATGAGCGCCAAGACTGACATTCGGGTCAAAGATGATGTTGCGAGGAAGGGAGTGAAGGCATGAAGCCATGCATGCGGCCTTGAGCGGTTTGTGACGTGGATGTGTTCACGATCGATTTGGCCTGCGCATATACGCACGCACGCACCGGCCATGCAGAGGGTTGAGCGCGATGAATCACGTGCCCGACGTCAGCGCAGCATGACCATCCTCGATGAAATGTGTGCGTGGCTTGCATGGACCGGCTGACCTGGTCCTCGCAAGATTCACTCAGCCTTTGCAAAGGACTACCTTCATCGCCATCTCATCGCAACTCGTGTCCGCCGATCTGGTGTGGCTGAGTCTTCTACACTCAACACCTCGACTTGGCATCTGACTACCAAGGTTCAAGCGCCGCGAGCATGTCCACAGCGACGACCGCACCCGACGCGCTCGACGCGCTGCTCGAGGTTCTCAGAGGGGGAGAAGCAGGCAGCGGTGTACAATGGCTAGACTCGTCGGGACAGCCAGTCAGCGCGGGCCCATCCAGCGTCTCTATCCGCCTATCCGGCGGCTCATCAAGCAATGTTTTTCCTCGAGACGCACCTACTCGTCTCGCAAGAGATCGACCTACCATTCTCTCCTCCAACCCCCTTCACACCCCTTCATCTTCTCCTCATTTATTCCTTGCATTGGATATCTTGGCTTTTGCAGCGTTGGAACCGGAAGAATCCAATGCTGCATATCTGCTCAAGGCTAATAAGGTCATGCCTGGTAGATTCTTGAACGCTACCACCAGACCCGCCATCCTGGCTTATCTGATCAGGGGCGAAGGTTGCCCGCTTCTGCTCAGCAAGGAAGAAGCGGAAAGGCGAAAAGTGGCACTGGAGAGCGGTGAGTAGCAAAGCTCGCTTGTATGCAGTAGAGCAGAACAGGGCAGGTCATCCGCATCCTCAGCATTGGCGGAACAAACACGGCGAGACGGCCAACTGACCATCCTCCTCCCTGACGTGCACTCCAGCCGGCCCATCTACCACTCCGCCCGGTTCACCTCCTCCATCCGTCGTCGCACTCTACAGCGGTGGTCTCAGCGCAGGAGCGGGCAGTGCGGGAAGCAGCAGCACGCTGAAGCGGGCTCGAGGTCCCTACGTTGCTAACGCAACCGACGCGGCCTTCGTCAAGCGTCTGCGCACCTCTGGTCTAGAGGTCCATCTGCGCACACGCTCCGACGTCCTTCGAGGCTCTGTAGGAGGCAACGTGGTCGACTTCTCCTCCATTCGAGAAAGCATTTCCGGGCTCGTAAAGAATGCCACTGGGGCGCACGCTAACGCCCAAGGAGGTGTGGGGGGAAAAGCGAATGGATCCAAAGCGCCTGCTTCTCAAAGTGCTCACAGCGGCATCAATAGCTCTATCAATCCATCGGGCGCGCAAAAGAGAAGGAGGGGCGATCCGATCATTCTGCTTTCGAGCGCTCCTACAGCGCTAGTAGGCTTGTCCAACATCGAATCTCTTCTTGGCAAATCGCGCTTCATAACGCAGCAAGAAGCCAAAGCTGGTGGGATGGCACCTGGCATAGAGGGTATGATCAGTCTTTACCATCCCATCTCTTCCAGCGCTGGTGCGGCTGCTTCCACGAAATCTGCAGCGAGCGCGGGAGGCAGCACGAACCCCGCGCGCGGACAAAGGTTCTTGGTGGTGGATTCCGTAGAGGCGCTCGGTAGATTGGGAAGCGGAGCGCAGGACGCCTGGGATAGGGTCGTAGCAGTCTTTACTACGGGTCAATTGTGGCAATTCAAAGGGTACAGGACACAGGATCCCAAGGCGCTTTGGAGAGAGGGTGAGTGGCGAAGGTGCAAGACTTGGATCCTCTTTGAAGCATAGAGAGGCCATCGCGACGACGGTATCTTGCCTGACAGAGATGGAAGTTGGGACTGGGAGAAAAGCTGCGGATCTTGTGAGGAGGTTGTACTGACGCGGACCCATCGCTTCTTCGCGACTCTCCCCTTGCTTGACCTCATGCGACTTCCGTCTCGCCACGCCTTCTGGACCACCCTCTCGGTGCACCTCTTTGCCACACACGACAAAAAGTGATGGGAGTTTACGTGCGCTGGAGCAACGAGTCGCGCAATGGCAACGTCAAAGATTGGAACGTGACCGAGCTAGTGGTAAGTCTTGCGTCTCATTCGGACTTTTCCAGCGAGTGAGTGCTCGCCTTGCTGACGCATCGATGAACACATTGCCCCAATTTGCAATGCTTTGGACATACGCGCGCTACAACAGGTGGATCTGCACAAGAGACATTTGGATAAACAGCTCTCTACGCAATTTTGGAGAACTTTGGACAGCTGGATGGCTAGGAACAAACCGGAACTTTTGGGCAATCCGACGAGTTCTAGTGCGAGATGAGAGAGGCATGAGCCTACGTCGCGCGTCGCGATCGACCACGTAATGCAAAAGGTCTGCTCTTGCTTTGGTCCCTCTCCACACCTGAGGTGTTGTGCGTTGTCCGTTTGTCATATAGTGCTATGTCGGAGGGAAGAAGAGCAGGAATTGCTATTTGCTATTTCTCAGTACCGCCACGGGTCGTGCACACCTGTGATTAGCCGCTCGGCCAAAATGCGCGCATGCACCAGTCTGGCCGGGTCCGAATCATTGCAACAGGCGACTCTGCGCCGTCTTATTCCCTTCTTGCTTGTCGCGGAGCACAAGGCGACGTACAAGCATCCGCAAGACGAGCATCGGTGTAGGACGGTGAAGCGCTTGATGCAAGACGAGCGAAGAGGATGGATGCATGTCAGACGATGGCTATAAAAGTTACAATTCTGAAGGAAAGTATGCGGACGAAGCGATTCAAAAGTCGAGATTGAAGTTTGTGAAAGAATGGAGGAGAAGAGAGGAGGCGAGGTGATGGGAGCCAGGTACGATCTCACTCCTGCCCCGTTTCTTTGATGACAATTTTTGCCATTTGCGCGAGATGAGGCGCATCGTCGAGGATAGGCTAGACGGTAGGACCAGCTGCAGTGCCGCTCGCAACCTCAGATCCCGCCGGCCTTCCAGCAACAGGCGCAGGAGTAGGAGGAGCTCCCGCTTGCCTCTCCCTCTGTCGATCTCTAGCACGTTCCCTCCTAATCTTCTCAATCAACCAGCTAGCATTGTCTCCTCTGGAAACCTTGAAGCTCCTGTACTGCTCCGGTCTGCTCGCGCAGTACCTTCTCGTCTCCGTCTCCCAGTCGATGAGGAGCTCGCTTGAAAGGAGCAGATCAAAGAGGTTCTGTTATGCGCAAAGATGAACATCTCCGCATCAGCCCTCGGTAGAATGATAAACAGGAGCACAACTGGCTCGCCGCGCATACCGAGTAGTGCTGATCCTTGAGGCTTCACTATTCCCCGCACGCATCGCCGATCGACTCGTCCGCCCCCGCACTTACCTGAGGATTCGCGTTCCTATGGACCTCTTCAGTTCTCTGCTGACTGATCATAGCCTCGCTACCGTGCAGACATTTCAACAAATCAGCGCTGCATGCCTCAAACGTGATCGACTTCCAACGAACGCATGTTGCTCAAAAAACTCACGTCATATGTTCTCCATTGGCTCCCCAACTAGTCGCTTGTCTGCCGCCCAAGCCCAATCGATGATTTGACCTCATACCAAGCGCAGCACCACCAGACCCTGAAGTTGCAGCAGAGCTTCCAAAGCCGAGCGGTTTGGGCAAACCAGTCATACTAGTCGTGCCCGTCCCTGCTTTCCTCTCTTCGTTCTGCCCATTCCTTCTCTGCGCCGCCGCCGCCGCCGCCGCCGC